GCAGCAGACGCCAGGTCTTACTCTGCAACCCGGCATCTGTGCGAGGCCTGAGCGGCGCCCAGACGACGCGCTCAGACACTCGGTGCAACCTTTCTCCGACAAGTAAATAAACACCACGCAAGTAGACTCTATAGCTCTCTATCGAATACAACCTCTTGTATACCTCGCGATTGCTCCCTAGAGCGCAGCCCCTTACAATTTGCTATTATATATTTAGCGTCTTATATAGTTAAGGTAAAGGCAAATAGTAAAAGTAAGAGAGAGTTAGGCAATAGTGCTATATAGCAAACGCTATCTAGCGAGCATAAATACTCTTCTTCCCCTACCTACTACTTATTTTCTCTATCCCTTTAGCTTTAATTCTCTTATTATAGTCACTTCCTTAAGTCTTCCTATATAATAGCTAATTGTAAAATATAGGCTAATAGCTAGGTGAACACTTTACGTTTTTACATAAATAGTAGATTTAACAACACTATTAAGTAGGCAACTACTTAGATCTTTAATATTACTTATTAGTTGCTTACTTATATAATACTAAGTGCTATCTAGGCTATAGCGCCTATTATTGTGCCGAGGCACAGGGTCACCATGACCCTTGTGCTAACTAAGCACTGCTTACCTTCAAAAAGGAACATGAATTAATAGTCAAGTCAGTAGGAAAATGTTACACGGGGTTAGGTGCTGATACTTCTCTAAGCTCGGTCCAGGTTAGGGCGAGTGAGATGGTGTGAAGAGCTTCGTGAGGTTGTCTGGCGATTCGTAGTAGAAAAGAGTTATAGATGTAACTAGGGTTTAACAACGCTAATCTATTAGATAGACTAACATGTAACTATCTTGTAAAGTAACAATACTAGTAAGAAAGTACAATTTAAGTTAACTACAACAAGAGTAATAATGAAATCCATCCATCCTTATATCCTCATTGCTTCTAGTCCTGCCATCACTGCCATCACGACTTTTCTGTTGCTTAGCCTAATGTCCTGATGGCTGCTATTAGAGGATTGCTGCTATCACATACTAGCGTCTGACGGTCGTCTTGGCGTGATGTTAATCACGTGATCCTCGCCCCGCGATAATCATTACCTTCTGACGTGGACGTCCATAGGCCTTCAGCCGTCTCGTCACTTGTCAAGGAGAGAATCCTTCTTGTTACTCGTAACAGAAAAAAAACAATATCTCTTAGAAAAATCTCTTGCTCGAAGAACCAACTACATATATTTTACTCCCTCTCCCCTCTCCCATAGCCTATGGGAAGGGGAAGAACCTTTAGTTCTGTTCCCTCTACTGAGAAGACATCGCAGTTCCACACAACACCTCTACAAATGGCGAAGCCTAAGGGGCTACGTTTAACTCCTTAGTAGATAGAACAGCTAATACACACTAACAGCAAAGATAAGGAAGATAGCAACACTACTTAGAGTAGCAGTAGGGGTGCCTCTAACTCTAAGAAGAAGAACTAGAACCTGTTAGGAAAAAAAGAGAATAAGGTTTACCTAATTTATTTTAAGTAAGTAGACACGTGTTGTGTCAGATAACTGATAGGATCCGGGTGTGATCGAGCACCCGGATTCTGTGACTCGGGCCAATTAGAGCCGAGTGCCAAGAATTATACCTAGGCGAGGCTGATACTCAGCCGCGTACCTAAGACAGAAAAAACAATAGTAATAGCACTTATAAGGCTGCGCGCGTGCGCGCAGCTAGAGGACACAGAACAACTTAACACACTCAGTTTCTATACTTAAGTTTATAACATTCTTTTATCATAGTGACCTAAAAAACAAGTCCTTAACTAGAAACCCCTTATAGTCTAACAATTAAGAGTCTTACTACCTTTACTAAGCCAATTAACATAAACGCGCAATCTGCTCCAATTAACGCAACCGTTATCTTACGCGATGAGAACGACTATCGCACCTAGTACAACCAGCTACAAGCCCGATGCGAAGCCTACAAAGTATGGGCCCAAGTCGACCCAGACTCAACAACCACGCCATTAGCAGAGCCATCTCAACCAGGGCTCCCCGATATCTCCGATTATACACCATCTTCAGCACTAGGAGAAGGAAGAGTGCCAGCCCGACTATCTGATCTATCCTCATCAGGGCAGAGAGCCTATAAGGACGATCTTAAAGTCTACAAACTCTAGATAGAGAGTTATAAGCTAAAACACGCTGCGTACAAGACTAAATTAGCTAGCCTACAACATATTGTAGTGCTAGTTTAGTCTACTATGGCGCCACATCTCTAGCGCACTTGCTGCTTACCTAATATACCACTAAAACAGTGGATTAAGAATCTGAAGCTAGAGGCTGGGATTGCACCAAAGTTTGAGCAAGAACAAACTCGC